ACCGTCGATGGCCTCTGCCACTTCGATTCTCTATCGCTCATTGACCCGCCAAGCTTTCCCTTCTTCAAACTTCAATCTTAACCAGACCCACCTCCCTCCCACTCCCAAAGTCCGGACTTTGGTCACTAAAAGTTCCTCCCACGATAGAAACAATGTCGCCAACGAGAAACTTAAGAGTTCCCCGACACAACTGTCGCTTTCCCAATTGGAGAAGAAACCATTCGCACTTCGCAATCCCCATAAGGATGAGCTCTAATGCTAGTTTATTGCTTTCATATATATTATTTCATGTTTGGGGGGTGGGGGATTGTCGTCGATGGAACTTAGATCCGGCGTTGAGGCGACACACGTCGATTTCACCACGCAATAGTGCAAATGTCTTTTTTACTTTTTAAAACCTTAAACACGTGGCAATCCTCTGTTGGGGCAGTGCACGGGCGAAGTGGTACCCCAGGTGCATTGAAGAAATTCTCCAAATGTTTGAGCTGAAGTAACACTCCGAGTCCTCAATTTCGTGCATCTTAACTGTGTTTGGTACTAGTTAGTTACCGTTGCGTTTGGTTAACACTATTTACCTCTACAGTAAGTTTCTCTCTTGGTATAAGAAGCCTCTTGAGGAAACAAAAAAAAACTTGCGAATTTCATCACAATCATCTCTTCCCGACCGGGGATTCTCAACATTGATCGAAGAATGGAAGACAAGGAGACAACCACAAATAAATAATTAAGAACTTTGGAAACGAGGTAATCAAACTTTATTAAGAGTTCAAGAGAGCATTAAACACTTTTTCTTCAGATGCCCCCTAGTCACCAGGTTGTGGACTTTAGTTGGATTGAGCAACTTCATTGAGTCCACCCCGACTGTTAGTTTTAGTTTATGGTGACGACATGTCATGATCTCTGAGATCTCACCATTCCACATTGTCCAATGCGTATGTTTACTTTGGAGAATCTAGAAGTCTAGAAATAAAGTGACTTTTGAATTCTACCAACCTCATGTCAGTTCCCTCGCCAGACAATTTTACAACCAGGTCTTTGAAGTTTCCAATATTCACCCCCTCCTCCGGCCCAAGATCTATCCTTCCAAATCCTCCTCCAACCACTTGGGAGCCTCCACCAAACGATTATTTGAAGATCAAATTTGATGCAGTTGTTCGTGACTCAGGGTGCTCATCTGGTCTTGTTATCCGCGAGTCAGACAGGCATGTGGTGCTGGCAACTGGTGATTCCAAGGTGGTTGTCAACCAAATCCAGCAAGGTGTCCTAGAAGATTCCTTTGGAGGCCCGGTGCTTCGGGAGTGTCGTCAGATCCTAGACTCTTTGTCAGTTTGTATAGAGTTTAGGGCGGTTCTCAGAGGCGGAGGCAGCCACATTTGCCCCTGTCACAGGACAGGGGTCGTTTTTTACTTGGAAAAAAAATACCCCCATGTGGTTCCACACAAGTATCAAACCCAGAACCTTCAACTCACACAGCGTAGCTTTACCGCTACGCTACAGCCGACTGTTTGATTATAGATGGAAACATTATACATATATGCGTTCTTAAACGAAATCCCAATTAAACAAAAACCTAATCCAATCCCTTTACCCTCTTCGTATTTTCACACAGCACAAGACAGACGAGAGACGACACTCGACAGCAGCGGTTCGGCCTCTGCAGCGGCAGGGGAAAGGAGATTTTCCTCCTCTGGCGAGTGGCGACCATCACCAATCCAACCCGACAACCCCAACCATTTCGGCCTTTCTTCTTACTTTCCCCTTAGGCCTTTGCCTTTCGTTCTCCTTAGCACCTCCTTGCGGCAGCAGCAAAATCCATCGTCCACATGCAAGCGGCAGCAAGCGTTGGGTGGCAATCCTTCCATTCTATTTCACCATTTTGTTCTAGGTAAGCTGTGAAATTGAAACCTGAAATTATATTGTGTTGTTCAACTATGTAACTCATGATAGTTGTGTTTGTTGATATGTAAATAGAACTGAAATTGTGTTGCTTATTGTGTGCTTTTCTTGGCAAATTAGATCTTTCAAATGGAGAGGTATTACTTTCCAAAGAAGAACAAGACTTCCCCAATTACTACAGCCCAAGATTTGGAAGGAAGTGGAAGTAGACAAGCCCAAACTTTTCCTCCTTCAACGGTGGTGGTTCCTTCCGAGATTCGACAATCAAATGTATCAGTTTCGATAAATCAAACTTCACTACAAAGTAAGTCTTCATCTCAAGAAAGTGAAAGTGAGTCTTCCTTTGAATATGAAGAAAGCCGGTTATGAATTCATTGAAAATGGATCCGGGATTAAGAGATAAAGTTTCTAGTTTTCATCCTGATGTGCAAGATGATGTTAGAAGGTTTTATCTTGAAAATGGTCTGTGCCAACCTAAAGGTCATCGTTTTCCATATAGTGACTTTAGTGGGAAGAAACGTAGATTCCGTTCATCTTGGTTTCTAGAGTACAATTGGCTTGAATACAGTATTGAGAAAGATGCAGCATTTTGTCTCTACTGTTATTTGTTTGGTAAGAAAAGTGGAGCACAGGATGATTTTGTTGGTGAAGGTTTCAAAGGGTGGAATAGAAAGAAATGTTTTGCTGATCATGTGGGCAGGCATAACAGCTTCCACAACAAAGCTAAAGGCAATGCAGAGCTTTTGTTGAAGCAATCACGAAGCATTGCAACTAGTTTATCTAAACAATAAGATCAAACCAAAACAGATTATCGAACTCGATTGATGGCTTCACTTGAGTGCATAAAGTTTCTTATGCGGGGTGGATTAGCTTTTCGTGGGCACAATGAATCATCATCTTCAAGCAACAAATGTAACTTTCTTGAGCTATTGGAGTTTCATGCTTGTGGTAGAGAAGAAGTAGAAAGAGTTGTTTTGAGAAATGCTCCAAAAAATCTCCAATTGACCTCCCCATATATCCAGAAAGATCTTGTTCATGCAATGGCTTCTGAAACAACCAAGAAAATCATTCAAGATCTAGGAGATACTTCTTTTGCATATTAGTTGATGAGACTCGTGATGCTTCAACCAAGGAACAAATGGCCATTGTTTTACGCTATGTGAATGATCAGGGTTTGGTTATGGAGAGGTTTCTTGGTACTACTCATATGGCAAATACCAAAGCCTTGACACTTAAGGGTGAAATTGAAACTATGCTTTCAAAACATGGATTGAGTATGTCAAGAATAAGGGGACAAGGCTACGATGGAGCTAGCAACATGAAAGGACAAATCAATGGGTTGAAGAGTTTGATCTTAGCTGAAAATTCTTCTGCTTATTACATTCATTGTTTTGCACATCAACTTCAGTTGGCTCTTGTTGCTGTAGCTAAGAATCATCCTGAAGTTGGTGATTTTTTCAAGATTGTCAATAGTGTGATGAATCTGATTGGAGCATCTTGCAAACGATCTGAGTTTATTCGGGATGCTCAAGTTGAGAAGATTGCTGAGGCTGTAGCTGCTAATGAACGAGAGACTGGAAGGGGATTGAATCAAGAAATGGCTCTTAAAAGACTAGGTGATACTCGCTGGGGTTCTTACTATGGGGCGCTTATCAATTTGGATAGCATGTTCTCTGATATTATTGATGTGTTGGATACAATTCAGAATGACCCTACTTCTGAGACAGATACAGCTATTGATGCATGGCGTATGTCGATTACACTTCAAGATTTTAACTTTGTCTTCATTTTGAAGTTGACGATTGAAGTGTTAGCGATAACGAATGAGCTATCACTAGCATTGCAAAGGAAAGATCAAGACATTGTAAATGCCATGAAACTTGTTCGTGTGTCAAAGACCAGATTACAAGAGATGAGAGACAATGGATGGGAGTCTTTGCTTGATGATGTAGTTTCAAGCTGCACTAAAGATTCTATTCACATTCCTATTATGCATGATGTGTATGTTCTTCCAGGACGGTCAAGGCGCAAAGCTCCGGATATCACAAACCTACATCACTTTCAGGTTGAACTATTTTACACGGTTGTGGATATGCAGCTGCAAGAGTTGAATAATCGCTTTGATGAGGTGAATACCAGATTGTTGACTTGCATGACTTGTTTTAGCCCGGAGTCTGAATTCGCTGCTTTTGACCTGGAAAAACTGATGTGTCTTACTAGATTTTATCCTGCTGAGTTTGGTTCCATCCATGATACTATTATTCGACAACAGTTTATTGGGTATCATCGTGATGTTACTGCTGATGAGAGATTTGCTAGATTAAAAGGAATTGATAAACTTTCTAGTGTAATGGTGGAGACAAAAGTGCATCAGTCATATCCGTCTGTTTATTTGCTTCTGAAGCTAGTTTTGACTCTTCCAGTTGCAACTACAAGTGTAGAAAGAGCATTTTCAGCTTTAAGCTATATCAAGAACAAGCTTCGAAGTCGAATTGGAGATCAGTTTGCTAATGATTGTTTAGTAGGATACATTGAAAGAGACTTACTTACAAATGTAGACAACGAATGTATTTTGCATTTCTTTCAGAATATGAAAACCCGTCGTGGTTGTTTGTGAAAACAATGATTGTATTAGTGGTAATTTCTTTATCTATGAATGGATTATTTGGATTTTATTAATTTTATTAATTTATTAATTAATTAATTATATTTATATTTTGAAAAGAGGACAGGGGTAGTTTCAAATCCTGACTCCGCCACTGGCGGTTCTTATAGCCGCCAACAGTGCTGCCCATAGAATGGCGCCTAAAGCACTACTTTCGTCTATCTTAGAGTTAGAGTGTTTCGACTTTATTGGGTGGCTTCACTAGGGTGTTGCTTGTGGGGGGATCCTGGGTAGTTTTGTTTCTATAAATCTTGTCTTCTCTTGATATCACCCGAGAATAACAAAAAAGGTAATCAAACTTTCAAGTTAGTCCAACTATATATAGTACTATAATCAGGACAACAATTAACAATCCCTTTTACAAACCATACACAATTCTCATACCATTTCCCGCATCACTCGCTCTCTCCAACTCAACCACCCCACCCCTAAAACCTCTCTAAACAATACAATTCCCCAGCCTACAAATCTCATCCACCGGTGGCGACATCCAAATCGTCGTCTTCCTCATCATCGTCATAAAATCCTCCACACACTCCTTCCCACTCAACCCACCAACTCTCACCCTCTCCTCCGCACCCTCCCTCCCCACCACGTCATCGAACAACTGCTCCCACCCCTTCTCCCACTCTCCCTGAGCATCACAGAGCTTCAACGACCCGTTCCTCCACTCAGTCCAGCTCCACCTCCTGTTGAGCGTGGGCATCCACTCCTCCAAGCACTCCCCCTCGCAGGCCGCCTCGCACGGCCTGCAGTAGGCCCCGCTCAGCGGGCCCGGGCTGCCCAGCGCCGCGACGGGCACCCCGCCGGGCCCATCTGGCGGGAACCAGAATTTTCTGTCCGACATAATGCAGAAGGGGAGCCGGTGCGCCTCGTAGTGCACGTGGTGGACGTCGAGCTGGGCACGGAAGGCGGACTCGGAGTTGAGTTTGGTGTATTTGTGGTCGGAGAGTAAGGGGAGGAGGGATAGGCGGGAGAGGGCGGTGGTGGAGGAGTTTAAGTCACCGATGCCGAGGCGGTCGTTGTTGCCGCCGTAGGAGGAGCCCTGGGGGACCAAGTAGCGGGAGTTTGGGAGGAAAGAGGACGGCGGGAGCGGGGAGGACCAGAAGGAGTCGACTCGGGTTCGGACTATCCAGTCGTAGGTGAAATTGTCTCGCGTCTGGTAGTCGGTGATTATTTTGAGGCAGCCTTCTACTAGGTTAAAGTATTGGAGTAAGCCCTGCAGTTGGAAAAAATAAATGAGAAAAAATAGGGAGCATATCCAGTCAATAACCTTCTGTTCAACAACCATGCATAACTCAATCATCATCCGCCACATAAGTGCCCCTTCTCTCTTTTGAAAAACCTTTAATTTTCCTCCCTTAATCTTTGACAGACGATTTCTCACTCGTTTTAAGTTAAAATTTAATTTTTTTTGCCCAGTTAGATCAGAGTGCTTTTCAAAATGATATCAACTTTGATTAATTTTTGGGACAAAAAAAATTGAGTCATTTTTTACCAGTCTATACCATATGGTATTGATTGGTATTGAAATAAGAGCATACTTATGGTTTGAAAAGCGTACCATGGTGGTATGAACAAACCAAGACGGTATGATGGTTGAATACATGACAGTAGAAGTGTATTAACTGTCATTTACGACTTTTAACATTGTGTACATTAGATACCACCCCGTACCAAGGTGGTATTATGTGGTATTTTTTTGTCCTGTAATTTGTTCACCCAGAAATTTGTAGATCCAATAGATCATGATGAACAATTTCATTCTGTTTAAAAAATTTCAAAAATGAATTAAAAACGAAGAAGATACCATATGGTATGCAGTTGGTACAAAGTGGCAAGAATTTTTTTTTTCCGCAAAAGATATTGAAAATGGATATTGTTTTGTAGAGCACAACGAACTCGTTCCAACTGTGCAAAAAAAATTGAAATTCAAGTTAAAACGAAAAAGATATGAGCGGATTAAGAAAACAAGGAAAAATAAAAATGACATTTAATTCTTCATTCTTAGATCGTGATTTTTTAAATGAAGGGTCCAGATTTTGTTACTGATATATGAATAACGCACTGTATCTTAAGGCGAACAAATATGATTATCATATTACTATACAATATTAAATTAGAATATTAATTTAGGTCGTAATTGAGGTAAGCTTATTTTCGTTTAATACTATCACATTATTCTAAGTAGGACTGCTAAAAGGTTATTATGTCTCGCCATGTAATCAATATCGAACTGGAACCCGCGGTTAATAGTTACACCGAAGTTAGTTAATTACTAATCGATTGTTAAATGATTAGTAACTGACGGTTAACCGATTACGACCAACATCGTACTTACGACTAAAATTAATAGTCCTCGATGAGCTGCATTCATAGGCTGGAAATGATGAGATGCTTGAAGGCCTTCAATATCACTTGCATATTCCATATGTAATAGTGACAGGTTCAAATAATATAATTTCACATAAGGGCTCTAGTCTCTAGAAGAAGCACAGTAGAAGATGGACTTGCACACAGTTGCTCGACAACACGTAGCAACGTTTAAACTTTCATGTAATTTGGTGGGATTTATGAATTGTGTAATTGTTGCTGGGTCTCTTATTCGTGTTTGCTTCTTTAATCAAATTTGACGGTAGAATGTTGTTAATTATGTACTTGTGTTAGATTGAGTTGATTCTGGATTTATATGATCTATGTAAAAAAAAATGTACAATTAAAAAAACGAAGAGGTATTCTATTATTAGGTTATTGATCGATTATTTTGATCTAACAAACTAATCGGTACCGACTATACAATTACTGTTATAACCAAACTGAAACTTACTAACAACGCTAATTCTAACGATAGCTTGGACAGTAGTATGAAAATTGAGGTCAAAGGGGAATGAAAGGTATCTATCCTTAGCCTAATCAATCAATTTCCTTCGGAAGAGCTAACTGATGGGATAGGGTATTAGAGTTTGGTGAAGCGCATGCAAAATTGTGAACCAATCCTATGGGGAGTGGATCAGGTCAGTAACTCTTATTGCGAGTAACCATCAGTAACCTGTCCACATCCGCATGACATCAGCATCTCCTCTCTCCTCGAAAGTCTTTTTATCTTTTTCCCTTTAATCTTTAACGGACGATTTTTCTCTCGTTTTAAGTCGAAATTTAATTTTTTTTTGCACAGATAAATCAGATTAAATGTGCTCTTTAAAATGATATCCACTTTGATATATTTTTAGTACAAAAAAAATTGAATAATTTTTTACCAGTCATTACCATATGGTATGCTCATATTTTATACCATATGGTAAGAAAGCGTACCATGATTGTATGAACATACCAATATGGTAAGAAGGTTGAATACATGATAGTAGGAGTATACTGACTGTCATTTACGACTTTCATCATTGTTTACCACAAGTTACCACCCACATACCATACTGATAAAGTATGGTAATTTTTGGTCCAGTATTTTTTTCACCCATAAATTTGTAGATCCAATAGATCATGATGAACTCGTTCCTTCTGAGCAAACGTTTTAAAAAACGACTTAAAAACGAAGAAGTTACCATATGGTATGTAGTTGGTAAAAAAAAAGTTCATCGAAATATATTGAAATTTGATCTCATTTTGTAGAGCACAACGAACTCATTCCATGTGTGCAAAACAAATTGAAATCCGAGTTATAACGAAGAAGATAAGAGCCGATTATGAAAACTAGGGAAAATAAAATGTGTTTAATTGACAACCCTTAGATCTAGATTTTCTAAGTTCACTTAGATCTAAATGTACAAATTTAGTTACTCATAGGTCAGTAACCACTCATAGGTCAGTGGTTACTGACCCTATCCTAAGCCAATCCCATGGCGGAAGTGTGACGTCTCACACAAATAACGATTTGGGTCTGCTAATAAACAAAAGGTCATTTTCTGGCCCAAAAGGGAAACCAATATCTAGTATCTACCGCGTGGCGTGAGGGGGAATGGGTTTGGGATATGTTGAATAACTAGATTTGGATTTTTTACTTTAGGATAGGATTTGACGAATGAGAATAAAAATAATTTTCTTAGTTTTCTTAACTAACTTTTGTCTTTATTGTTCTAATTTGAATTTGATGAACGGATTCGTTAGGGTAAATTGCAAGTTTCGTTACTAAAAAGTGTGATGTTTAGTTACTCGAAATATTTAATTCCAGTATTGGTCACTCGAATTAGTAAAACGGTCCACGTTTAGTCACTTTCCTTTAGTTTCTGTTAACATCGTTAGTCAATTGCTGATGTGGCAAACAGAAGTACCAACTCACCCTATTTTAACCGGCCACATCACCAAATCCGACTCGACCCGCCACGTCACGCAGCCCGCCACCTCAGTTTTTCCATCCCAACCCATAAACCGACCATTCCTAAACCACTGACCAGTCGTCGGTTGACTCCTCATCGTCGGTCTTGACTCCACGATCGTCTCGTTCCGCTTCTCTCCTTATTTTCCACCAACAAACACCAACTGGCCAAAGAAAAAAGCAGAGCAACAGTCAAATAAACTTCATTAGAGACCCAACTCCAGCCACCATTATTATTACTCCAACTACTTCTACGGCCACTACTGCCAATTCCTCCTCTTCCTCTCTTCTCTCCCCGCCATCACAATATTCTCTCACTCCTTCACACTCCTTCCTCCTCCACAGCTGCCTCCCAATCTTCTCCCGCTATTAGCCGCCGATCATCAAAGATGCAGAAAATAAGAAGTCGTTTCGCCCTTCTCTCCATCTTCTCCCAAATAAGTCCGACCTTCTCTTCTTTTGGGCCCTAAGCTTCGAGAAACTGAACCCAGGATCTTAAATTGCGAAGAAATGAAATCCAGATCTGGTCGTATTGGAGCGGGATTGGAGCGGCCAATTTGTCCTGCTTCTCTGGATTTGGAATGGTTGATTTGGGGAAGAGGAAGAGGATGGAATTGGTGGCAGCTCAAATTAGAGATGAGGAAAAGAACAATTGCCTCGCCTGCCGATCTGCTACTGTGGTTTTGGGAATGGAGCGACCGGCGGCGAGCCTCAGCAATCGGCCGGAACCATTATTGATTCTAGGGTTCACAAGGAGGCAGGAGAAGAGGAAGCAGACGGTTGCCTCGCCCATCGATCAACCTCTGCTGATTTAGGATTGGAGCGTCCGATGGCGAGCCTCAACCATCAACCGTAGCCAAGGCTGTTGATTTCTAGTCTATGATTCGCGAGGAGGAAGGAGAAGAGGTGTGGGGTTGGGTCGAATCTCGCCTGCCTGAGTTGAAGAACTCATCTCGAATAATGAAAAAATCCCAAAACAATTTTTTTGGGATGGTTGGTTTATGGGTTTGGTTGGAGAAACTGTGGTGGTGGATTGAGTGACGTAGCTGGTCAGATTTAGTGATGTGGCGAGTTAAAATAGGGTGAGTCAGTACTTCTGTTAGCCACATCAGCAATTGACTAACGGTGTTAACAAAGACTAACGGAGAGTGACTAAACGTGCCGTTTTACTAATTCGAGTGACCAACATTGGAATTAAGTATTTCGAGTGACTAAACATAACACTTTTTAGTAAACTCAATGACCAAACTTGCAATTTACCCGGATTCGTTATGATCTACAAAATGAGATTCATTCCAATATATTTTGAGGAAAAACTTATACCACTTGTACCACTAGTTACTACCTTCATTTTTAACTCAAAATTTGAAAAAATTCCCTAAAAGAAACGAGTTTGCCGTGATCTATTAGATCAAAAAATTTCATTTAAAAAATTCAGTACAAAAGTATCACTTTGTAACAGGATGGTAACTCGTATACATTGATGAAAGGGCGGGAGAGATGTGATAAAAAAAATTTTCTTTTTCCAAAATATATCAAAATAGATAATATTTTCATGAGCATGATTAAGCTGATTTTCTTACAATTTTATTTTGATTTAAAGTAAAAAATATTCTGTTAAAATTTATTGGGAAAAATAGTATTAGTGTAGAATTACGCCTAGCACATAACTGCTCCGGGGAAAGGCAAAATACAGTCTCATAGCCACAACTTTCACGTTTGTGACAAATATAACCATAATTATCGGAAAACACAAAATAACCACTTCCGTCCATTTTTTTAACTGTGTTAGTTAACAGCATGATTGGACTGACGGAAAATGTTAAGTTGGCGATTTATTGTCCCCACAAACCAACGTGGACTAACAGAAAGAAATAAAAATAAAAATATAGAAACACTAATTACCCACCACCGCCCTCCTCTTTCCCTTTCTCGCCCTTCCTCCATGGATTCCCCTCTCGACCCCAGAAAACTCAGCAGAGGCATGCGCTTTTCCTCTTCTCCACTTCTCCCTCCAACTCGCCACTCCTCCTGACTCAGTTCTCTTCCCACCACGAACGAGTCATCCCATCTCCCAGAACAAATGGCCGAGTTGTGCCGCCGGCAACGGTGGAGTTCGTGGTGGTGCTCCATCATTCAGCCTCCCTGCAAAATCCCCTACAATGGACACGCCCTCCCGTCTCCAACTCCAGGCGAAAGCCCAGGCCCAAATCTTAATTCCAGGGAACAACTTCGTCGAACTCGTTCCCTGGGGTCAGATCTGCAGTGGAGGGGCTTCTTCTTCGTCGTCCAACTTCGCCAGCGACAGGGGAGAACCAAATGTCTAACGAAATATTTTGAATGGCTCACAATCTGCACTAGAATCATACGAGGATGCTTCCTAGTTCCTATATACTCGCTCGATTGGAACGAGTCCAGATGATTCGCGAGGAGACTGACAAAGCCTCCGCTCCAATTATGTTTTCCCTTCTCTCGCAATCTCGCCTCCCGCTTCCTATTGTTTTCCCAGGCTATATATTCCCCTGTCGCCACTGCAACTCTGGGCTTGTCCTCGTCGATCCCACCGTTGCTTGATTCAATCAGCTTTCCACTTAGTCAATGCCGTGGCGAGTTCCGTCACCGACGAATGTGGATGCGAGCCCCAATTATCGATTAATGGCGATGGGAGGCAGGTCGAGTGGTGCGATGGGATTGTTTGCAGTCAATGGAAGAAGATTCATTGTTGGGTAGTAGTTGGCTCAATGGCGACGGGTAGTGGAAAGAAGATGGAGAGGGGGCAGGAGTGATGCCGGCGGTGAAATCGTTTAGGGATTTAGATGGGAAGGTATTAAGGAGGGGTGGTGGGGAGAGAGGGGCAATTAGGGGAAAATGTTTTTTTTTTAATTTCCAAATTAATTTTTTATAATTCAAAATGACGTGGAAATGATATGAGGACAAGTCGCTGATGTGTGAGATGATTTGGCGTCCTAGTCAGCTTAAAATTCATCTAACTGACGGAGCCTCTAACACCGTTAAAGTTTCTAACGAAAATGGCTAGATTTGTCACACTACCATCCAATTTTTGGGCTATTTTGTGTTTTCCGATATTTGTGGCTATATTTGTCAAAAACGTGAAAGTTGTGGCTATGGAAGTGTATTTTGCCCCGGGAAAGGGCGGGAGAGATTAAGTAGCCTATTTGCTGATTAAGTGATGATTTCCCAACAGAGCGGTTAATAAAAAGAAGGGAAAACTGAAGACGACTAAATAATTACCTGGATGCCATTTGGCGAGGCGGCGCCGGTGAGAACTCGGTGGTGCAACTTGGTCTCGGGGATGTAACTCGGCTTGAAAATGCTGACGGCGGCGATCCTCGGCGCGGATTTGAGGAGCGAGAACTTGTACGCGTTCTCGTCCAGGGGACTGTGGAGGAAGAGATCGGCGTTCGGATACCGGAGCAGCACGTTCTTCACGATCGACGGCCCGGTGAGCTCGAACCGCCGCGCTCCGCCGACCAGGCACACCGCGATCCTCGCCCGGTGCGGCGGCGGCGGATGACGTACTCCTCGGTCGCCGGAGGAGGAGAGGTTAAGGAAGTAGGAAGAGAGCGGGGCGAATGTAGCGGAGGAGGTGAGGGAGAAGATTAAGCAGAAGAGGATTAGCGGGAGGAGGAAGATGAATAGGCTCTTCGAGCCGTGGATATTGGCGGCGGCGGCGGCGGAGAGCAGACGGACTTTGGCGGAGGGAGGTGGTGGAGGAGGAGGAATGGCGGTGGACGGTGGCGATGGAGGCCCCGCGGCGTCGTCGGTTTCCTCGATCATGATTGCCGATATTGTTGAGCTGGCTCTGGGACTTTTACGGACGAGGGTCTAAGTACGATAGCTCGAAACAAGATAGATTAAAATCACGATAGAGTCGTGTTTAGTTTCCGTAAATAATATTTTCAGTCCATGCAATGCATGGTAAGGCATCACGTGGTTGAGCACATCTATATCCAATAATGTGGCAAACGTTGGCATGATGAAATGAAGGTTATTGGAAGAGGGAGATGGGGCGGCCGTTTTGCGTGATGAGTTTGTTACCGGCTGAAATACTTTAGTGAGGAGTTTTCATGTTGATTGGGAGAGTGTGTTTGCCGTTTGGCATGTTGCGCTAAGAAACCAGCAAATGTATGCATGGAGCCGGAGGAGATGAGTTTAGAGTAGACTTTAGAGGCTTATTAATTACGCCAGAATTATTACCGGAGGCCAAAATGGTTCAACCATGCTACATGATATTCATATAGTCGGACGGAGAATTTTGAAGTTACATACAGAACCTCGTATGATTATGAAAAAATTATGTATTAACTAAATGTCATTATGTAAGGAACTTTGTGGGCAGAAACGATACAGGAAGAGAGAGTGCTCGAGTAGCCACGTACGGCGCTTGAATCAACTTCTAAACTTGGTGTTTAAGGGTTGCTTGGATTATATAATTAATTTTTTTCATACAACAATTTGACAAGACATTTATTTTTTATTTCTCAAAATATTAAAAGAATATGCTACATATCGAAATGCATTATCAATTTTTTGTTCGTATTTTAATGGTTCTTTTCGTATAAATTTAACCGATAGCAATTTTAATCATGTTATCTTTCGTATTTTTCTATTGTGTCGCCGTGATAGTCGCAAATGATTTATTGTGTCGTGATGATAATAGTAATACAAACTTTTTTTTTTTGTCATGGTAAACTAAATAACTTCATCCTCAAACTCAAATTCTGGATCCGCCCCGGATAATGACGTAAGTACAATTATGATATTGGTCTCTTAGTAGTATAGCTAATAAGTAATAACTACACGTTGAAATATTTCTATGAAGTAATAATTATTTTGGAGAGGTACTAATTGACGCCCTAACTTTTTAAAATTTAACGCCCTAACTTTGATAATTTGACATTTTTTCCCCTAAACCAATTTCAATCTGTAACAAATTTTGCCCTGAGAGTCGCCGCCGCCATTCGCCCTGGGACTGGGAGTCGTCGTACGTCGCCGCCAAAACTACCTTCTCTTCATCTTCTTCCCTTCTCGATCAAGCTTCAATTCTCATCACTTTCTGGCTTTCGACTCACCCTCCTTCCTCCTTAACCGTGCCGACCCTTCCGGCTCCTTCCTTGACCGCGAAGAATCCAACAGTACCAGAATCCCCGCGTCGTCGACAGGCGGAGCAGTGCAAGGGGTGGGGCGATGGAGGCTGCATTGGCGAGTGGGATTGAAGATGGAGGGAGACGAAGAGGTGGGCACCTGTGGTGTCGGAGGTTGTATTGGAGATGGATGGAGATGAAGAGGTGGGTGACGGGGTCACGGCGGCGACAGTGTGCGGGGTTCACGGCGGCGGCAATGGTCTTGCAGAGTTGGAGTGGTCGGCGGGGATTCTTTTTATTTTATTTTATTTTTCTTTGACGGGAGCAGCAAGGGCTAGGGCGAAAATTAGGGATTGGGCCCTGGGGGCAGTTGCTGCCTTTTTAGTGATTAGGGGTAGTTTTGTCTGTTCGGTAAGATTAGGGAGTTAAATTTTAAAAAATTAGGGCGTTAAATAGGAATTCAGTTATTTTGTCTATTGATCAATTGTCAAGAAATAATTGTCAATTGATCAACGTTCAAGAAGGAGTTGGGGGTAAGGCAAAACATAAGTTGCAAAACAAGTCATTATGAAAATCACCATTCAAATTTTATTAGGCCAAATGGATCAGCACAGCAATTGCAATTGCCTGATAAGTAGGGAAGGCTATGGGTCGGGTTGAGTCAGGTTTAGTCAAACTCAAACCCATGGGTTTATCTATGAAAAAATCCGGGATAAAAGTCATTGGGTTTGAAAAACTCAAATCCAACCCAACCGGCTGGGTATCCGCGGGTTCACGGGTACCCACAGATTTTTGTCGTAAAATTTTTACAATGACAAATTCCTATCAAAATTAAAGTCAAATATCAATCTCTCAATACAAATTATCCATATTTAAAACACCATTCTAGAAAATTCAAGCAAATCACAAATTAACTATACAAATTGTTCAACACCAATCTAGAAAACTCAAGAAAATTGAAGCAAATCACAAATTATCCATAAATAACATGATTAATTGAAAGCTTCTTCCTTTCAATTAAGTTTCTTCACTCTCCACTAGATAACGTCAACTTCATTCTACACAATTAGAAGGAAAAAATTAGACATGTCTCCACAAACATTTATAAGATTAGTTGTTTAGAATATTAAATATACCGAGAAAATTAATTATATTGGTGTGGGCGGGTACCCATGTGTCGGGTTTACCTAAACCCAAACCCAACCCAACCCGATGATTAGTGAACGGATTTAAACTCAAACCCGGCCCAAAACCCGTCAACACAGATTTTACCCGCGTTGACCGGGTTGGGTCGGGTGGGTACCCGTGGGTTCGGGTTTTGTTGCCATCCCTATAGATAAGGTGTTGGTTGATTCCATGATATGTCGTTCCACTTTACACTTGGGTTCACCACCGCAACAAGGAATGGGGAAACGATTAATAAATTGTGACGCGTGCTGGGTGTGGCTATACAGTTCGGACCGGTTAAACTGTTTCGAATTGATTGGGTCTCGATTCGGTCTTTTCAGGAATATAATGACCAAAGATTGAATTGGATACAGTTCAGTCTTGATTCGATCTGATTTTGAACCTATGCAATCCCAATTTGGTCTTTGATTTTAGATTGAGTTTGTGAAAATTTGAGTGACCTGAGGCCTAAAAAGGTGAGGAGTTGGTTAAATTTTGGGTGTTGGGCTCTCTTATCTGGTCTTTATCCAGTTTTCGGTACAGTCCCGAACGTTTTTTTTTTATCTCAAATCCAAACCCGAAAATTGGATTGTTTGCTTTCCGGCCCCGATCCAGTCTCCTTCCGAATTATACGATCCGGTTTCGGGTAAAATCAAAAAGCTCGGACCAAATAGCCACTCGTAGAATGGATCCAATTGTTGCTTGCACCAAACCAATGAGAGCTGGGCACGTGGAAAATAGAAGGGAAAGAGGCCCAACAGAGGATGCCAGTTTGACATCCAAAGAATAAATAAATAAATAAATTGAACAGAATTCAGTATAAAAAATGTTCCTTATCTTACAGAGGAAATGTCCAGACCAACAATGAGCGACAAGGAAGAAGAACAAAAATAGATGAATGAAGAACAGCAGACCTCGGATCCAATCGAAATGGAGGAAGATTCAGTCATTGGATTCATCGCGATGGAGGAGGAGGAGGAGGAATGTCTGGTGTATCCCCTGGTCTTGGAGGTGAAGAGGAGGAAGAAGAAGAAGAAGAAGAAGAAGAAGAAGAAGAAGGACCAAAGTCCAGGTCTGGGATAACACCAGGCGGTCGATCTCGAGGCTGTATTGATAGTAACTGGGAAGAGTCCCCTACGACGTCGGCCCATCCGTAGTGAGGCTCGGCCCTACGAAACAAATGGGCCAGATAAAATAACTATTCATCAGCTTCAACTCGCTGGCCCAAATAGCTTATATTTGAGGAACTTTTCTTTTAATAAATTGGATTTACAGAATGCAGAGAGAGGAAGTGTTTACTGGTAAATTGTTTCCTCATCCACAACAATGTCCCAGGATTCGCCAGTGGTGCTCCTTCCATACTTGTGAACTTTGCTGCACAATACACAGCAGAGAGCATGAGCTAATAAGAGGGTGCTTTTCCAGCTTAACCGAGGTTTGGAGTTCGAGATGCGAGAAGAACAAGTAGATACTACGAGAGAGTATGAAGTCTCCTCGTACCCATTTCCGAAGTGTTCCTCCCCCCACGTCCTTGTCCAACCTAGGCACGAGATTAACGTCGAATGTTTAGAATGAACATATGAACAAAGTGCAGACATACAGATCAACAATTTTAGCTAGTCATTGAAGAGGTACTAGTTTTGGAAATGCCTACAATGAATGCAAATTTTAAAAGGTTCATAGAGATGGTAGGAAGAGATGGCATAGATAGGGATAAAGAGAAGCCAATCAATGATATCACTCCCGTTCAATGAAACGAACATTGTACAGTTTTAATGAATTTGATGTGCAGGTATCGATGTTATTATTGTTGATGCATGAAGAGATTGAGAATGTAGGAACACAAGATGATATTGAATTCCCAGAGTTTAGTCATTGAGATTGCAAGTAATCATACGTTGGTCATTTGCAGAAACATGCCAAGTTTCTCCTTGCCGTGAGCCTATACCAGCAAAGAACTTCTCCTCCCACTTGTCTCCCCACCTTGTTCCCAGTTCCGTCTCGGCCCATTTATCTGTCCTGAGGAATTAAGAAAAGAAATGAACTTAATGTGACGAATCAGTAATTCAAGGTAGTCAGTCCTATATCCAGGGGAAGGCCCGACTCTTTGCATCCTCGGTAAGTACGCTATGGTTCAAAAGTTTGACTTACACAAAATCCTCTGCAGTCAACACTCTAATTAAATACCAGTCAAGGGAAGCTTGAATGGCAAACATTTTATCCTTTGCTAGTTTCACATGCATTTGTCTGGAGTCCTACTTCAGGAGCTAAGTGCAACCAATTGTGAAATATAGACACCAAGAATCAATATAACAGGACACCCAAAGCCTAGGACAATGATAACTAACTTAGAGCGTGCTAAAATGAAGAGAGAATTTAGGATTGGGAGAGCACAAACCATTTGAGAACGGATCCACCATCATAATGCTCTCCCCACTTCTCCCACCATGACTGCTCATTCAGTCTACCATATTTGTGAGCTCCTTTCTCGGTCCACCCCTTAGCATCATATTTCTCCCACCTAAGTTGGGGCAATATAGCTCTATTAGCATATTTTACTTTTGTCTGCAGGTGAAAAAAGATACGATAATAATGGAGTAAGCTTACCATTTCTCGAACCATCCTGCCGTTTTAGTACCTGATTTAGCTTGCTTCTGTGCGCTCTTCTCTATTCTCGCCAAATTACTGCAATTCAAAAGAATGTGATCAGTGATAAAGTTTCATGCAGTCGAGTAAATCCTGTAACAAACAATACCAAAACAGTGGTAGAAATAAGACCTCCATTTATCTCGGTGAAGCACCTCTTGCCATGTTTCCCACCAAGAATCCCCTTCAGCATTCTTTCCTGATTTCTCCACACCTACAGATCATGAAAGACATAATAAAGTCAGGACTTCAATAACCAATCAAGTATGCTACGAGGAAAATAAAAGTGATTTACCAAGCTCTTTATAGCCAGTCCAGTCACTTTTCTCCCACCACTGTCAAGAGAGACCAAGAAACCCAATTAAAAGCAATCCCCAAATGGATACTTAATCTCGTTATACAAAGGATTGTATAAAAGATCATAAATACTTGGAAGAACACAAATCCAACTAATGCAGCAGCAACATAAGTTGAGGTTGGACTAACATTATAGTAACGATTGTTCATTCACCATATCACCATTATCATAAGTTTGAAGTTAGTTTCATACCGTTTCTTTCCATTGTGACGAACCATCCTGCGATTTGCCTCCCATGGTCGTCCATCTACATCTGTAACCCTTTTCTCCCACGTCTTCCCCACTTTCCCGGTACCAAGTACTTCCATCTTCATTAGTCCCAGACTCATTAACAAGTTCATTTTTCAGGTTGATCCCCCAGTCCTTCTCATTCGCAATCCCAGTATCTAAAGTTTGACCACCATGAAAAATCACACCACCATTCACCAAATTAAAGCTTTCCAGATGCAAACGAGACAAGTAGTAATCGATGAGACAAAACCTAAATATTACCTCTCTGCGGCGGAGTATCTCGAGACTGCGAGCCAGAGTTTTTGGGAGTACAACGAGGATAAAATTTCTCTTGCTTATTGGTGAAGCGAGACCTACGAATTCAAAACAAACCACAGAGACAAATTCAATCACTGAAACTCATAAATCAAGCTGGTTGCAGATTACTAGCTGTCTAGCTCAATCAACAATCCAACTGAAAAGCAGTTGCAAATCAAGTTGCTCTTCACTAAACCATAAGTAAGCAACAATTGGAAGAACAATCTATACTATAGGAAGAAACGGTGAGAGCTCATCGCCATTACAAAGCACAAGCGAATTCTAGAAAAATCGTGCGCAAAGTCACAGACTGAAACTTGGAACTCCAACAGTTGAAGGCTCTAAGCCAATCAAAATCGTAAATGATAGTGATTTAAACCATAACAGCGAAGGAAAAAATTGGAAGAGAGAGCACAGGGACATTACTGAGGAGAAGCGAACGGCAATGCGGAACTATTAGCTCTCATTCTCAGCTTGCGAGGACTATTCTCCTCGGCTTTGTCCCCGCCAATACGCGAAGCGGCGGCACTCCGCCGAATAGGAATGACCGCGCCAGCGCAGCAACAGGAAATCGTGGTCACCGGAGGAGGCCGCCGGCCTGCTTGAACGCAGACTCTGCTGTTCTTCTTCGCCGTCTTCCTCCAGGAGCTTCCATCGAGGAACGGAGAAATGCCTAGGAGGTGGGGGCGGAGTTCCAAATCCAGCCGAGCCGTGAAAACTCTGGAAGTGGCGGCCGCCATTGGGGAAAACGGGGCGGAAAACAATTACGAGGAATCCATTGGAGGAAAGTAGACGGAAACGGGAAAGGAGAAACCCTAGACTAGGAGAAGAGAGAAGTCTAAGTGGTTGCGAGTTTCTGGAAATGGCGAGAGAAAGAAGGAGCGAATCAGAAACAGCAACTTCGAAGTCCAGGGAAGTAAAAGAGCAGAGAGAGAGATGGACTTGTTAGTAGCTACTGGCTTTTAACAGAAGTTGCATTTTCTTTGGCCGTTTGGTTTCAACGACGAGATTTTAATATGATTTTTCAAACGATTAAGAGTTAATTAGAGCTTACTTATATAATTAGTTATTGCTGTCTAACGAAGAGCACTCCTCGTGGAAGCAAGTAATGCATTTTTTTTTACTAAGTATGGAATACGGTTTGAGGTACCTACTTTGAAAGCTTACTTGTTCATATTGATAGCTATTCGAGTGAAGTTAGAAGTTGGAGGTGATAGTCCAAGGCTACATTGAAGTGGAAGCAAGTATCGAGAAGCTCCAAGATGGCATGAGAGGGACGGGGCAACGGATGGTGGGTTTGGAAGAGGGTTTGGAGGCTTCAAAAACTAGTTGGTATCCTAGACAACAATGTCGAGTCATTGAGAGAGATGATCTGATGCAAGCTTGCTATGGCGAGGGATGAGGTTACGAAGCTCAAGGGAGAGGTCAATATCCTAAAGACGGTCATGACTAACTGATCTGTTGTGGAACAATCTAGTTTAAGTGTGGATGTTTCAAAACCGAAGTGCTTTGGATGGTCGAGGAATACAAGGGAATTAGAGAACTTCCTATGGAGCTTAGAGCAACACTTTGAAGCTTTAGGTATTCAAAATGAGAATGCCAAGGTACGTTTTGCATCTCTTTATTTTGTGGACACCGCAATGTTACGGCGCAGGAGATGCCGAGGCGATGTCGATAAAGGAGCGTGCATCATAGAGACATGGACAAATTCAGGAGGGAGATTAAGAAGCAACTCTACCCCAAGAATGCGGAGCTTGAAGCAAGGTCAATGATGAGGTAACTTGCTCACTAGGAAGAAATTTTTGGGTAAGTGAGGGAGTTCTCCAAATTTATCCTTGAAATATATGATTTACCGTACAAGGAGGCCTTATTCGCATTTCTAGATAGCTTACCACCAATGTTGGAGCTATAACAGTGATGCATTCAAGATCTTGCCCAGACAATGTCGATTACATAGTCCCTTATTGAGTACTACATGCTTGAGGAGCAAGAGGCATCCCACAATGGAGAAGAAGGTACGTAAAGGTGGAAAATACGGGAAAAAACAACAACACAGAAGGCTTTGGTGGATACCGCGACGACAACTTCCTCGACGAGATGATGGAAGGAGGCTAAGTATCTCGTAATGAAAAGAAGAGAGAGTTGCTCAAAAACTATAAATGTGTTAAGAGTTTGTGGACTTTCAGGTAGTGCTGATGGGCGATTATTCAGTCATCATCGGTATGGAGTTTATGGAGAGAAAGAAGTTTGTCTTGATCCCCTTCGAAATTCAATGATCATCTTCAAAGGAGGAAAATCGTGCATGGTACCCATATCTAAAGAGACATCTATATCACTCAAGACTTGGTTGGCAATGTGAGCTTAGACAAGGGAAGTAAGTACCAACGAGTAGGGATGGCAATGGGTCGGGTTGGGACGGATTTTGCCAAACCCAAACCCAAACCCATGGGTTTATCTTTGAAAAAAATCCGGGGTAAAACCCACTGGGTTTGAAAAACTCAAACCCAACCCAACCCGTTGGGTATCCGCGGGTTCATGGGTACCCACGGGTTTTGTCGTAAAAAATTTACAATTACAAGTTCTTATCAAAATTAAAGTCAAATATCAATCTCTCAATACAAATTATCCATATATAAAACACCATTCTAGAAAATTCAAGCAAATCACAAATTAACTATACAAATTGTTCAACATCAATCTAGAAAACTCAAGAAAATTGAAGCAAATCACAAATTATCCATAAATAACATGTTTAATTGAAAGCTTCTTCATTTCAATTAAGTTTCTTTACTCTCCACTCCATAACATCAACTTCATTATACACAATTAAAAAGAAAAAATTAGACATGTCTCCACAAACATAAATAAGACTAGTTGTTTAGAATATTAAATATACCGAAAAAATTAATTATATGGGTGGGCGGGTACCCACGGGCCGGGTTTACCTAAACCCAAACCCAACCCAACCCGGTGAATAGTGAACGGGTTTAAACCCAAACCCGACCCAAAACCCGTCAACACGGATTTTACCCGCGTTGACCGGGTTGGGTCGGGTGGGTACCCGTGGGTTCGGGTTTTGTTGCCATCCCTACCAACGAGGCTAGTAGGAGGGAGGCATCCATCAAATGCCACAACGAGGGCGCCATGAATTAAGTGGGAGAGAATGTCACATTGAGGTTCAACCTTCCACACTAAGAAGGTTTTGGACTACTCTAGAAGACCGGAGAAGAATATGAAAGAGCATGGAAGTATGAGTACTTGTAGATAGTTTTTTAATATTTTTAAATAACACATATTTGTATAGATTGTTTTATAGACTTACTTTTAACCGTGGGATTCTAAAGGCAAGAAGCTCATTCTCCTCATTTGTATCCACATGACTTAGCTTTTTAACTAGACTTGAATTTTAAGGGTTGATAAAAGACCAATTTTATTGGGGATAGTTGGCCTAGCCATGTCTGCAAATCTCACGGGAGATTAGGTATTGTTTTCTTGTGGGATTTGGGTGATGAATTTGACACCCAAATCCCAAGCATTATGTATTTGACACAAATACATTTTTTTATTGAGATATACATATCCGTGGAGCCCATATATTTTAACCATCATTTAGCTCCAAATTCATGGTTCTCGTGGATTTGGAAATATCACATTTCATTTTTTGTTTGATTATGGAAGACAAAAACTTGAGACCCATTGTACAAATATCTTAAAATCTATGATAAAAAATCAACTAAACAAACAATATGATCCTTCTAATACAGAGCACAACAAATATATTATAAACATAAAGATTTTCAGAATTCAAAATCTTCATTTCGAAGTCCTACCAATAAACAATACCTTAATCAAAACGGAAGAATCGTACACGTGATGTGAGCAAAATTGACAGGTGTCCCGACTCCCACACTTGTATCCATTATGCTTCGACAATTTCCGGTTCAATCTCTTCTGCCAACCGACATACGTCGGCCTGAGTGTGCAAGTGGAGAATATGACTATTTTCTCCAAAGTTTTCACTTAGTCGTCATGTGGATACAATGTAACAAAGTCTAAACAAAAGAAAAGGTGCATTCCAAAAGAGGCATGACGTCAAATGAATACATTTCGTGCGTATTGATTAGATTTCGTCTTGAATAAGATCGGGATAGTATAAGATCACATCTAAAATGAAAAGGAAATGAGGTTACAAGATGCATTTGGTGCAATGGGCATTATTTATAACTTTATTAATAACATTTCATTTGTTATTTGATTATGAAAGACTAAAACTTGAGACCCATTGTACAAAAATCTTAAAATCTATGATAAAAGATCAACTAAACAAACAATATGAACTCTTTCAAATACATAACACAACAAATCTATCAGAAATATAAAGATTTTCACAACTCAAAATCGTCGTTTCAAATCCTACCAACAAACAATACACTAATCAAAACGAAAGAATCGTACATGTGTGAAAGATTGACAGGTGTCCTGCACTTGTATCCATTATGCATCGGTCGATGGCCCGCGTGGCAGGAATGCAAACATTGTTTCTCGGCTCGTTGGCTTTGTGGTTTGGACTTCGTTAGGTTTTTACGGTCCAATATCTTTAGCCAACCAACCAACACACATCGACCTGAGTGTGCAAGTGGAGAATTTTTGGCTATTTTCTCCAATGTTTGCACTTAGTCTATGGATACAATCTAACAAAGATCTAAACAACAGAAAAATGTGCATTCCAAAAAGAGGCATGACATCAAATCAATTTCTTTCGTGCGTAATGAGTAGATCCAGTCTTGAATCAGGTCGGCATAGTATAAGATCAAATCTAGAATGAAAAGGAAATGAGGTTACAAGATGCATTTGGTACAATGCGCATTATTTATAACTTTATTTTAAGAAATTTCATTGGGTTCAAAAGAGAAGATTATGAATAATTCGATCAATTTCAACTTAAATATCTATTTGATCTAGTATGAACGGTGTAATCTCAAACATTTTGCTAGTTAGTTACATCTCATGATATATGGTTCTTTGAAGAGATACGTTTAACAAAGATTAGATGATGTTTTTTCCAACCAAAACAAAGCGGATGTAAGCAACACTCATTTTACATTTTTAGCCTAAAAAAAGATTCAATATCGGAGTAGTGCTCAAATTCATTTAGTAATTAAATCATATTTGATTAATTTTGCTTTTGGGCATATCCAATTTTTTTAGTTCAGATCTAAATTGGACTTATAGTATTGGGTACCATAAGAAAATGAATACCAGATTCTAATGAATTTTTTTGTCTAATATTTTGCTATTCAACAAATAAAACGGTGGAAACATCAACATTAAAGTATAATTAGATTGAGGGGGATTAATGAAGTAATTGATATTGTTTTTATATGTACAATTATCTAGATCCAAATAGATTCATTTTGAATCAGATCCAAATGAATTGACCAAATTAGATCTAATTCAAATTCAAAACCAGTAGGAATATCTTAAGTCTAACCCAATGAAAACCAAATCATTCCTACCTCATCCCATTTCCCATGCGTGAAGAAGACCCCAAGTCAGTTTAGTTACCAATTTCCATCCACAACCAGAAAGCAGATATCGTGCTGCTGTCACTCTATTTCCAAGTCACTGTCAAGTAACCTTATCCAAAACCGCAAAACCTCAACTCAAAAACTGAGAAATTCCACTCTTCACTCATTCCACGACTTCTCGCCATTGATGACATGGCGTAACACCTGTTGAAGATGAGTTCCCAATATATATAGTGGATAAGGCGAGAAAAGGGGGGCAATGCCTTACGTGTCATCGTATCAGGCGAGGGCAAGGGAGCTATACTTGGTGCCACAGGCGGCCACGTCAGCAGGCACCGACTTTTTGAGAGGTGGAGCACGACAGGGACACAAGCGGTTGTTGGTTCGGTTCGGTACTGTCAGTTGGACGAGGAAACCTTGTGCAATATAAAAGATGTTCTTTTCCGGATAGGCTTAACGTCACATTTTGGAGCAATAGCTTTCAGTGAAACTAGCTTTCTTCCCGGCCTGTTGGCCGGGTGGATTTTGTGTGTCTTGTAAATTAAGTTTTGTATTATTGTATTTACTAGATTTTGGGCCCGTCCGTTGGACGGCTATATTTTATCGATGGAAATTATTCAAATCAAAGATATATTTTTATTTGGTACGGTAGAGTTTTCTGTCATCTTAAATGATTCATCGACATAAAGTTGAGATCAAAACTAAAAATAATTAAAAAAAACTTATCTAACCATATCATCGATATTCTCTTCCTTATTGTCAACATTGAAACTGTGATTAATCATAGTAATCCACACTTTCTGGTGATATATAAAAATAACTTTCATCTTCCCTAAATCATAGAGGGTATAAATGTACATAGAATTGCCAAGAATCATTGTATTGCTAATTGGTTGATTTTCTGTAGAGAATATTTCTTAAATTCATAGAACTATCGTTGGTCGGATCAATTATGTTTATGTAAAATCAACTTATCATTGTACCTTACTATTTTCAGTCTCTGAAATAGTTTGTGTTGTGGTAACATTCTACTACTAAATATTCGTAGTCTTTTGAGTATACACTTGATGTAGGTTTATGGGACATTGACAGATTATAGACTCATTACTCCATAAAAATACTCAACAATCCATCAAGGATTTTTATCATTGTCATAACTATATATATTTATAATATATGATGATTAATCAATAGTTATGATTGCCTGTTATGCCTATCATATGAATATGTTCAAAATTTCCTTGCATATATCATACCCACATATTATTGTTCAATTATCTAATCTTCTTTTGTTTCCAGAACTGAGAGTTTGTAAATTCTCAATGCAAGACTACTATATGCCTTGATTTGTAAATCATGATAATCAAACTTGTTATCTTATACAATGTGAAGTAAATTTTAACTAATGCCGAAATTTGTTGTCTCGATATAATACATTATGTCTCGATTTGTCAACCATGGTACTCAACCAACGCGTCAATTTGTTAACTCTCTAAGACATTATACCTTGATTTGTCAACCACGATACTTAAAATTATTGTCTTATACAATATGAAGCAACTTCCAACCAACGCCTCAATTTGTTAACCGATGACTCCTAAAAATTAGGATAAACTTCAACCAATATTTATTCACCATTGGCTTAGTATATCATAGGATTTCTTAGTGAAGATGTTTGATCTTTGGATTAATTTTGTATATATATTTGGTTTATATATTATGATTAAATTTTTTAAAGTTAAAACTTTCTTATTAATATAAGTAATCGATAGGGTGCATCTACAAAACATTGGAGCATATGAAACGTTGTACCACATGAATAGTAGGTTTATTATTTTAAACAAATTATTATGTAAATTAAATTTAAAAATTCTCAGAAACATTAATTGTAATATGTTTTATAAATTAATAGTAGAAGTGTTACTAATTAAAATGAAAGAAGTGTTCTTCCAGAACACATAAATCTACTCACGGAACTAATTTATTCTTTTAATAATTTCCTCCTAGTTTTTGTTTTCTGATTAAAATCTTTGTTCGGAGACTTAGCTGATTATTAGAAATTTAGGGGATGGTGCGGATTTTGTTTTTTTTTCCTTCTATTAATTATTTCATCTTTAATAATTAAATTTACAAAACTAACCTTCCTACAAACGCTCAGAAGGCTAGAAATTCTAAATGAAAGAGGTTCTGAGCGAGAACGTCTATATAGTAGTGGTAGGAAATATTTTTAAATCCTCCTATTATTTATATTTTCAAAATTCATTTGAATAATTTATTTGGCTGTCTTTTGAGATAGGTTTATGAATTCGTAACTAAGTAACCGGTGATTTCAAACTAACTGTCGACATCAATCAATGATTTTTAATCTTTGACTTAAATGATACATACTTAATACATTCAATTACTAATTAATGAATATTAATCTACATTGAATTATATATATGCATATGTTAAAATTTTCTATTAACATTTATCACATGTACAACATATAATGGTTCAATTCTCCATAATTTTTTCTCATTCCATCAAAGAAGGCTAACTATGTCTACTTGTATAAATTTATGTTTAAATTTGCCAACTAAAACTGTCAAGTTTATCATCATATATACATAAGATATGAATTAATGTTGAATATCAATTTCTAAGTTTCAATCACATATACCGAGTGAGATTACGAAATACGGAGATCAAAGGGAAGGGAAGGAAGTGGGCTGGGCGGGTCGTGAGGTTGTGGGCTGGTGGAAGAAGTATATGCGAAGGAGGCAGGCCCAATAATGATACAGAGGGCGGGTGACGTGGAGGGCTGTGCGTAAGATTCAGGGTACGTGGCATGGTGCCAAATATCAAACTGCTTTAATATTTTGTAAGAAGAAGGTTTAATGGCAGCCATGAGTTTTCATTTCCGGGCTGTATCAATTTACGTTTTTATCCCCCTTTTCTATATGGATGGTCAGAATGGTACCTCCAGCTCCAGGATTGTGAGGTCGAGTTTGCTATTCATGGTCACGTTTAGTCCCGAGCCCAACCAAGTAGGGATGGCAATTTACCCACCCATGGGTAATTTTGCCCAAACCCAAGTAGACCCATTTATTATGGGTAGGGTTTGGGTGATGTGTGTATGGGTTTGGGGTTTGTATATGAGTTTCGGTTAGATATGGATATTATCTAAATGGCTATGGGTTGGATATGGATATCCATTTACTTGAGGGTGTCTTAACTACACATGCAAAAATTGGACTTATTTGTAAAACTTGAAAAATTTAGGTACCAAAATGTAAGACCAAAAAAATTTAGGTACCAAAACGTAATTTTCCATCGATATTTTGAGGACTTATATGCAAAAAAATTAAATTTAGGTACTAAATATGCATATCTATTAAGTTTAGGTACCAGACTGTAACTTGTATTTGGGCATGGGTACAAACCCAAATCCATTTGTTACCCATATCCATATATTTGAATTTCATACCCAACCCAATTGGGTTGGATAGTAAAATACCCATAGGTATGGCCATAATTGCCATCCGTGTGTAAAGAGAGCAGCACATGAACTGCATATGCGTCTTTGTGTCTGCCCTACCTGTTTTCAACACATGCTCTTAAGCTCTTTGCATATGCGCGCGTCAATTCGGTTAAGACCTGCAATTCTGATCCATCTTTATCCATATCACGATCTACCCAATCCGATTTGATTCAAAAAAAATTTCAAATTCCTTGTGTGAACAATGAGAAACCAGCAAAACTTTTTAAGACGTCCGATTTTGATTTAGTAAGTTATGGCCTTATGGGAGAGAGAGGAGAAACATAGCAGAAACTAACAAAAGCACAAACAGTTTAACTGCGCTAAAATTGCTGATTAGAGAAGTAACATGACGATGGGAACACCAAATATCACATTGAGAGACGTTCGAAGCAGAAAAGCACAACCAAATGCACGTCTCCTGGATCTTGAGATCATAAATTCGGTTCCAAGATGAGCCAGACTTTACTACAGTTGTGCAAGCTGAACCAAACTCGGCAACAGGCCCGTAGTGCCTTCAATCTGGTTGCTTCACAAATTGGCATCAATTGATGGTGAAAGAACGATGATTTGGACCGTGCAGGAACTTACTTTCTCGAGAGATATGGCTTTACTGATTCCACAACCACCTGCCATAGCAAATCAAGAGACCAGTTGGATAAGAATATGGCAGTCATCTAATAATAGCTCATGCATATTGGAACAAGCCTCCATTCTCTGGATTGCATTTAGACAATCCATCCTTAGTCCTTACCCTCCCATCATATGATAGAGATGCGAAAATCCAAGGTTCACGAGAACTCCAAGCGAGCCCTATGATCAATACAAACTAATATCAGTCAAGCAACGTGCAAAATCATTGCAGAGATGGAGATTTTTTTGCTGCTTTTTTCTTTTACCATAAACACTGTCTTCATAATCGGTATAAGAGTTCACCAATGGATCCACCTTCAAACTTAATGAGTTCTGCCCACTGTTAAACATAAACTTACAGGCTATAGTCATCAAATCTGAAGAATGACACCAGCATATCACCGTAAAAGTTAGACATGTAAACAAGAGATGGACCTATCGGAAGTTATCTCATCACGAGATCCTGTTGGAGCCAACCACAAGTTAACAGCAGAGTCGGTGCCACCACTCTGCGTGTATTTTGCAGCTCGGGTAAGAAGTCAGAACATATGTAATCAACTATCAAGAGAGGGATAGATAAATAATAGATGCAGACCAGAATCAGCCCATCATACTCAGGGTTGCATGCCACAGCCCAAGTCCTGCCAACATTCGAATACACGACGTGAGGACCAAAAACACCAAACGTAAAAGGCTCAGGAACAGAAAAACGCATGCCGACTTATGCGAGGAAACAGAGCATGAAGTTAATTATTTTGAAAGATATTTGAAGTGTGCCAAGGCGAACTCTAACCAATGAGTGTGTCCGGGTAGCTCTCTGATGGGAACCTTTGTTTTCCTAAGATCCCAAATGTGAATCCCAGTTTCATCCTCTGCAGTAACCTACAAACATTAATTTATTGCATCATTATTAAAAAGAGCTCCTAGCATTCGACAAATATCCGAACAAGCATTAATCCACATTCAAAGAGATGATATCCCAACGGTTTTTTTTTCTTTCTCCAAATATCTTCCAAGCTTAAAGAATAGTCGGCTAGTGTTCAGAATGGAAATATTGATCAAAGCTGCATTGCATGCTTAGACACAACTGAGAACTCTTACAAGTATGTGATCCTTCTTGGTATCATAATCAATAGTGCGGACATGGGAGACATCAATGGAACTCGTCTTCCTGTAAATACAAGTTGTTGAAACTATCAGTCAGACAGGATTTCATGATGCTTAAATGAAAAAGGGTCAACAGCACCAGTATTGGAGAAACGACTGTGCATTTATTCTAGAGTTGAATTATGCACAAAGCTACATGTGTGGTCAGCTTCTTTGTGCCCATTACTCAGTCAAACCTTTCAGAGGCCAAGAAACTGCTAGCCATCCCATCAGGAGAGATGTATAACAAGATTCTACTATGCAAATGAGGCTTTCAGACTAGTGGAAAGGGAAAGAGCGAAAATAAATTATCATCTAAGAAACAACGGGTTGACATTCATTCATGTCTCGTGCCTATGCTTTTACATGTTGGTGTCACTTGATTGTGATCAATTACTGAGGTAGTAAATTACAAAGAATATGAATATAAGTTCCATAAATAAGTGTTCACCCACTTCTAAGGATCGAGACTTCCGGATTCAGATTTCAATAAGATATCCTACAAAGCTCATCCCGTATGCTTAGTCTCGCAACTTTGGCCACTTGACAGTGATTGATTACTGAGCTATGATATATAATCTTCATTGATCATCTATTTCTAAGGATCAAGAGTCTTCCAGATTCTGGTTGGCTAAGAGATTTTGAGAAGCTTGTTCTCAAGGCTAATCCCTTTACATTTGGTCAGTTGAATCTAACCAATCACTTAGCTCTGCTATAAGTAGAAAGAATAGATGTAGGAGTATCATACGTCATTGTTCGTAGATCCCAAAACTGGACTGAAGATTCACAAGTTGCTGCAATAGAGTTCACATCATGGGGATCCCAGGCGCCACCAGATAAATAGTGCATCGTACCAGCAGACTCCTTAGATTGCACCTACCATTTGTAGGGAATCTGAATAAGAATCAGCATTAAGAATGCAAGATTTCAATTGGCACAACCATGTGCATTTAGCTATAAAAGAGCCCCGAACTGAACGCTTTTAGTCATCTCAAGCACCATTAGACAGTCGACAACATCCAACCAACCAATGATATCAAGTTGGCAAGAGATTCCAGTAATTGTGTGAAATGTTGAGACAGTAACAAGGAAGCCATTTTCAATACAGAATATAATACCTGGGCGGCCTTTTTCGAGGAGTCTAAGCTCCATAGGAACAGGTTTTCCTCATCAATGCTAACCAACTTGTCATTTCTTCCAGATGGCCACCACAAAACACTGTTATTGGAAATGGAAACCATGAGTTAGAAGAAACTAGGTAGGCATTTTACGAACGGAACACCACAAGCCAAACTATCTCACATAAGAGGCTTTGACACTGGAAAATACTACAGACGACACGAGCATGAACAACTTCGAATCCTCCAAGTTGAACTTACACTTTACAGACCTCCAAAAACACGAATTATTATACCCTTTTAACCTACTGTTTTCAACCGTAGCTTGGTCAAGTGAAAATCATTTCCTCCTGGTATCCTAGACCTATACTTTCTAACTGTAGCGAACAATGTGCAAACTAACCACTTAATCTTGCTAACATGAGCATCGAGCAATGCAACTCTTTCCAATTGAGGCGAATTCAGCTGGCCATACAGCTCCGGGATCTGCCAAACCGCCGCTCCATACGATTCCCCTTCAATGAAACAACAATGTCAACCATTCCGCCACAGAAACCAAACAATTCAAGCAAAGATTTCCGGCCAAGAAGAACAAACGAGATACCAGTTGAATAGACCGTTGTGAAGATGCGCTGATCAAACGGACAAGAGCGGAGGTCCCAGATCTCATTAGGATGAGAGAATAACCCCTCGCAAATGAGCTCAGTTCCATCGGCAGATAACCTAATCAAGTGAACCTAAAACACGATGGCACCATTTCCAATAATTCACACACCAGATCGCGCAAAACTCCAGATTCGAGAGAGCAGGAGAAATTCAAGCGTGGTAAGCAGATGAAAAAGGAAGATGAGGCGAAACCTCATTTTCTTCTCTGAGGCTGAGAGTGCCGGCGAGGAAGCTTGTGTGATCGGTATCCGCTTTAACGTCCGATATGCACCTTGCCTACACATTGAGACGTTGAATTCAGAAGTCATATGATGACGGAACGATGGAAAAGGCCGAAACGATGAAGAGAAATTCATGTAGAGTTCGGCAATGACGGACCTGGTACTTCAGACCATAGCCGACGCCTGAAGATCCTGCTTGCATTTTTTTCCTTTTCCTTCTTCAATTCAACGGTGTGGTTGCTGCCGAAGCGTCGAGCTCTGCTTGCTAGGAGAAAGAAGCTCTGTCGAGTTCCTTGGTAGTAAATTTTGGTGTGAGATGGATATTCGCGGGTATGGGCTTTTGATCCAGGTCCAGCGGAAACTGGCCCTTTGGAAACAGCTGTCCAGATCTTTATGCACAGATGAAAACGGGACGTTTAAACAATGTCCCAATCTTTATGCATGGATAATTAGGGATGGCAAAAATATCCGCAACCGTGGATATCCGCCCGAATCCGACATAATCGGGTAGGGTAAAACCCGAACCCGAAGGACTTTTAGCGGGTACGGGTAAAACCCGAACCCGAATATTGCGGGTAATGGGTGGGCATGGTTTTCTCACTATCCAACCCGAACCTGCCCGATTATACACATGCATATGTATTTTGTCTAGAAATAATCAATATTTTTGTCTAACATATTTTATGTTTACCATGTAAATATAATATTTTTTGGAATTGTGTCGTTTAATTAATTTTGTTCATTCTAGTGAATAATTGTCGTACTTTTCGTCTTACGTAACGTGAGAATAAGTGTGAATATTAATATATTGGTTGAAGTTATAAAGAGAAACCATTACCCATGGATAACCGTGGATACCCGAAACCCGAATGGGTATGGGCACGGTTTGGATTTTCTACCCGTTTCTTATGTGGGTATGGATATGGGTAAAACCCGAACTACTTTGGGTAGGGTAACGGATATGCACTATCCGTCCCCGACCCGACCCATTGCCATCCCTATGGATAATTCTAGGGTAATCGACTTCAATTTGATCGAATTACACTTATTAATATCTGAGAAAATTACAAGGTGAAAAGAAGATATACTCTCTTAATGATAAAAGTGTAAGGAAGTGGTTAAGTACCATACATGGGCCTGTATAAGATCCAGCATAACCTTCTCCCAACAAACTCGAGTTGTTGGGAGAAGGTTATGCTGGATCTTATACAGGCCCATGTATCATGTATGGTACTTAACCACCTCCTTAAAAAAGTAGCCTCGTAAAACTGAGCCTAGGTAATCAGCATAAAATAGACATCTCTATAAACATAATCTAGTCTAACCTGTTAATATTGTGCTCTAAGCCATCCAATTTTTGCTATGGATGAGTAACAATGTTTTGCTATAACGCAGGTGGTTGGACGAGACATTGTAGATCGGGTGTTTGGTTACGAGCAAGTTAGTCTACAAATGAATCTTCTTAACCTTTGGCTCACATGTATGGATGACAATTATATTCGCAATTTCGAGTACCTAATCCAGTCAACGAGAAGAATATCTGCATTGACTAGGTATAGGGAGAAGATGTGTCAGAGTCATGTAAGGGCACACCTAGCTACTTGGAAACTGAATCCCTTTCTTCTTTAGATTGTCAAGCGTGAGAAGTTTCTTATGGAAGAGAATCCACAACAAGGCGCATATATATCTTGCTTGCAACTGTTGGCTGCCACACAATCTTGACCGAGAAATCTTCATATTGCCCGGGAACTGGGCTGCTTTGAGATGGCCATAAGCAGACTTTACGCTATACGCTAATGAAGGAAGTTGTGGAACAACTAATTAACCCAGTTGTATTCGACATTTCTCAGCTTCATCCTCATGTACTAGGAATTGGTCAAGTTTCGACATTTCTCTGCATCAACTTCATGTATACTTTCATCGTTGGCACTATAAGAAATTTCTGTAACTGTTGCTATTATGTCAAGTTTCGACATGTCTGTAACTGTTGCGACCAGCCCTGGCTTCGAAGTCGGTCGAAGAATTGATCCAAAAAAGCGACGGTGCGTGGAGGAGCGTTGTCGTCAAGGAGGATTCCAAGCCGACGGCGGCAGAGAATGCGAGCTCTGAGGCATCGGTACAAGGACGAGTAGTCAAGAGAAAAACTCTCTCATTCTCCGACGATTACTAACCAGCGGTGGAAGTGGCTACACCTACAGTCAATGACGCCGCCGCTGTTCTGTTCAATCCTCCGCCGTGGACGCGACGGTTTCGTTGAGGGAAGTTGAAACGTTTACATTTCAATAGCTAATTATTGCTTAATTAACATAATTAATTATTTTTTGTCAGTTTCCATTATATGCTTTTAAAAGTTTACACTTCAATTTCATTGTCATAACTCATAACGTTACACGTGGGGCATTTATGTTTCCGTTTTACAGCCAATTGTATGTAGTAATGGACATGATGAATATTTTATGCATGGAAGTAAGTAGTGGGCATCTGCAGGGTAACAACCCCAACTCTCATGGGCCGTTTAATTGTCATTCCATTTCTATTAGCTGCCATAACAAAAAACAAAATTAAAATGAAAACGAAGCTGTCATTTCCTGGAAAACAAAACCTGAAAAAACCTTGTTTAGCTGAGAATTTTGGTGAGTTCTGAAACTGAGTTCTGAAATGAAAACCTGTCTAGTTGCTTCATTCTGTTTTTTGATTCTTGATTATCATACAACCCTAGCCATGATTATAATTTTTAATTTGAATAAAATAGTTTTTAAACTACAAATAAACACAATACAAGTACAACATCTTATATTAATTAAGTACTAGTACAACATAAAAATTCAAATAAGTCCAGCTTGAAAGTCATCCCACAACTTGTTTGCTATTCCATCTCGTCGTACATCCATCGCTCGAGTTTGGCTTGAACTATGATTATATGCTTCTCGTTCTTGTCCTCCTTGCACTCCATTGGCATTCTCTCCCGTGCTATAATTTTGATATTCTTCAAACAGACTGTCGTCACCAGAGTGGATCCTAATAAAGTTATGTATAACACAACATGCAAGAACAATGTGTGCTTGTTTCTTGAGAGCGAAAGGAGGCATATGCTTTCCTTCTCCTCAAACAAACAATCATCAAACACTCATAGTCACACTAAACTCAACAACCATTCTTTCCTTCTCCTCTCGGTCATACGCAAGAAAAGTCCTCTCTTCAGTGGACAATCATGTAGAACATCGAAAGCCTCCACAAATACATTAGCCTCTACCTCCATTTCATCTAATAAATTCATGCATTCATCATAATGTCAAGCTCTTTATACTGTGAAGATACATCATGCATAGGTCCTCCAACCGAAGAGGCAGCCTCCTTGGCTTCACGCCTCTCACTCTTCCTTTTGGAGTCTTCAGCCATGCTGATTATAGCATTCTCCACTGCATTAGTAAAGTCAGATTTAGCTGCTTTTCTCTTCTTTCCTTTGCCCTTCACTTTGGGCAACGTCTCCTTGGCACAACCAGAGACTCCACCCACATTTTCTTCACCATCAAGATCCACATCATTTGCTTTGCTAGGTCCACCACTACTATCTGAGACCTCGTGAGTAGAAGCAACAGCATTCGCACCAGAGGCAGTTGTATCACCAAATAATATGGATAGACTTTCATACTCTGGACATCCATGCTTCCTAATAGTCCCCATCATCTTGTATCGCTGCAAATGCAACATTCTAATCAATTCCTCTTTCCTAAATACTACTTTCAATACAATCACAATGACGAAAAATGTCAATTACCTCATTCCACACCTTCCACTGCTCATCAGAGGCAGCAATCCTTCTTGTTACAGAAGAGTAACTAATTCCAGTCTGGCTGATTAAGTCCTTGAATTCCCGGTGTTTCCTCCTCATCAAATTAAATTTATTCTTCAACTGTTCGGGGGCATAGTCCTTGTTGAACTTAATCTTCAACCCATTTACAATGTTGGACCATCCCAATTTAGTGAAAGTTGTCGTATGTTTGTTCCCCTTCTTTACTTCCTCGAACATCAAAGCAATGAAATACTTGACTACTTTATCAGGCCAAACCTCGGCTGCCTCAAGTATGACACAATCACCCACATTTTCGACAACAATATCAGCCATTGCTTATCACGCTACAATTCAATACGAAATAAGATATCACCAACAGATTGACATCAAACAAAATAAACGAAGACAACATCATTCAAACTCAACAACAAATCTGTCCATTGTTCAATTCATTCACCATAATATTTCCATTCAAACTCTTTCATCCACCATAATATTTCGATTCAAACTCGCAACACAAAACATGATCAAACCAGTACAATTCATTATCACAAGCAAGCATGGATCGTGTCACTCACAGGAAGAGTAAGTACCTGGATCGTGTCACTAGCAGCTTCAGAGGAGGAATTGAGAGGGGGAAAGCTCCTTCGGTGCTGCTTCTACTGGAATGGGTGACAACAGGAGGAGGACGATGTGCGGCTGGAGGAGGAATCGCTAGCAGCTTCGGAGGAGTAATCGCCAGGCGCTTCTTTGTTCGATGGATGAGGAATCGAGAAGGGGAAAGCTTCTTCGGTGTTGTTGCTTCTGCTGAAATGAGTAGCTAGCAGCTGCCATTTCCGCCGGCTGGAGCTTCTCGTCTCGGGGAATCTTCCACCTCGCAGATGATGACGGCGCGGGGCTGTCGAGGGAGAGAAAAATGATGGAGGTCGGCTGGTGCTTCTCGCGTCAGGGAATCCTTCGTCTCGCAGATGGTGGCGGCCGGGGCTGGCGAGGGAGAAGAAAATGATGGCGGCGCGATGCTGGCGGAGGAAGACGATGGGGCTGCTGGTGGGTGGTTTGGGTGAAGAAGATGATGGGGCGAGTTCAGAGGGGTCGGCGGCCGATTGCTATGGGAGGAGTTCAAAGGGGTCGGCTGAAGCATAGTTCTTCTAGGGTTAGGGTTGGGTGGATGAAAGAAATTCCAAAACGGCGCCGTATAGGGTAACAGAGGAAAAATGGGGAAAAAAGGAGCCGCGGTGATTCGAACGGCCGATCTCATTAATGTAGAGCGGACGATTTCCGCTGGGAAAAGGGGCAATAACTCGTCCCATTCTTTTCGGAAAACGAGTATTAATGATTTTCCCATTTGTAATAATTGGGTTTTTCCAAGGAAAATGGAATGGTCAAGTGAACACGTTTTATGTCCATTTGTTTCCTGATTTTCATTTTTTAACCAGAAAACAGAAAATGAAATGGGAAGTGAACAGGGCATCAAGCTGCTGCTTCCGATCTCCTATGAGGGACCTATATCGGAGTAGTTTCACTCTACAACCAACATCATCCCTATCACCATCATCTCCTTCTTCTTTATTGGCACAAACTAGTGTTCTATGTGGGCGGAAGCTTAGCAAGCTAACGGTGGCTCTTAGTCACCATTGAACGGTCTGGATTTGGCTGAAAACGACACTATTGCCGAAAACCTCCTGCAGATGGGAGAGTAAGACTCGTTTAATTCTTTTGATTAACATAAGCGGTCCTCCTCTGGAATCCGACCATGGCCAGAAATAGTCTACGGTGTGGTACAACAAACGGCGAATTCACCGGAAAACCTCCACCGTCGGAGATGACAATTAATTGTCGGAACAGTTACAAGCCGTTGGCGAGTAATTGCGAATTTTTAGTCCTAAATTTATTTTGCATTAAATCTTTTCTATATGTGTAGGTAACGATTAATTGGCCTATTCATTGTTTAGTCCCATTGCCAAGAATTCATGTCATTAATGGTATTAATCACATGTTCTACGATTTCAAACGATGAAGTCTTCCTTAGTGCATCAACTATGATTTCTTATTTCTTTAGAAATAGTCAAATAGGGCTATCACTTGACTCATGAATCAGCGTTGGCCTCAAATCGAAAACTGATAGTCGAGAAAGCATTGAAAATTTATTCTTCAGATGCCCCCTAGCCACCAGATGGTGGACTTTAGTGGGATTGAGCAACTTTATTGAGACCGCCTCGACTGTTAACTTTAGTCTATGGTGGCGACATGTCATGGTCCTAAGACCTCCCCATTCCACATTCTCCAATGCGTCTGCTTACTTTGGAGAATCTGGAAGTCTAGAAATAAAGCGATTTTTGAATTTTACCAACCTCATGTTCGTTCCCTAGCCACACAATTCTACAACCAGGTCCTTGATATCTCAAACACTCTCCTCCCTTCCCAACCCCACAACTCTCTTCTCAAACCATCCAACCACCACATGGGTCCCGCCGCCAGACGATTTCTTGAAGATCAATTTCGACGCTGCTGTTTGTGCCACCGGGTGTTCGTCTGGGCTTGTTGTCCTTGGGTCAGACGGACATGTGGTGTTGGCGTTCGGGTTACAGCACCAAGGAATAGCCAACCTTTCCCTGGCAGAGCTCCTAGCCATTGGAGACGCTATCTCCATCATCACCTGAAGATCTTTGACTCACGTGATAGTCGAAGGTGATTCCGGAGTGGTCGTCAAGCAGATCCGGCAAGGCATCATAGAAGACTCGATTGGTGGTCCGGTGTTACGAGAGTGTCATAAGATCCTTAGCTCTTTGTCCATTTGTATAGAGTTTAGGGCGGTACCTAGAACTGCCAATAGTGCTGCCCATAGAGTGGCGCGTAAAGCACTGCTTTTGTCTCATCTAGAGCTAGAATCTTTCGATTTTTTCAATAGTTTCATTAGAATTTATTGTAAAGGATCCTGGGTAGATTTGTATGAATAACTCTTGTCCTCTATTGATATCACTTAGAAATAAAAAAAAAGGTACAGGGAGAACACCCACAACAAAAAATGGTGGAGATGGCTCGGGATGAGATAAGGTGATCCCAACTCATTCACACACTGACATTCTCATGTCCGGAACACATGCAATTCATATACTACCATCAACCATAATTCTAAAAAGAAGCAAAATTTTAAATTCATTGATTTCACTTTGTAAAATTTATGGTTACATATATGTCACCTCTTAACTCTAACTCTCATAACAAATTATATTTGTTCTCGCATAAATTATATTTGTTCTCATCTGCGAGACGAGAATTATCGACGGACATAAGAATAGAGAAAATATAATTCATGAACTGAAAATAGGAATAATGATGAATTTGGGAATCCACCCCACTGTCATTCCTACTATGAGTAGATAGTTTTGATTTCATACACAGTCTCACTCAATTCTATACGAGTGATGGAATAAATGGTTATAGCACAAGCAAAGCAAAGTATACATCAGTCGTACTAATTTAAGATAAATGATCTGAATCCAATAAGAAAGAGAGGTCATTACATTGCTTGTAATTTGGCAACATAACCAATTATCAGTCTAAACATTGCAGCACTAATAGCAAAATAAAAAACATTGCAGCACTAATACAACAGAGATCCTGTTTTTTGTCTTGAATATAGTCTTCCTGAAAAGAATCGCAGCGTAACACTCCAACTACATTTCAAAATGGAAGAAAACAACAAAACCATCTTATATACATTTCAACTCTGCAATGGTGTGTATCAGTAATAGAACTACTCTTTGTGACGGGCACTGTAAGCAAAATGTGCGATTATCTTATGACGAGCAGAGTTCTGAATCACATAATTACCAGTATCTTGATGCCCATCTAGCTGAAACAGAGAACCAATAGGCTAATCTTCTTGAATGTTCACCACCCACGACGAGGAGACAAACCTTGAACTTTCATCATACAGAAGTACTTAGTTGGGACAACGGCGCCAGCTTTAGCACACAGATCAACCAATGCTGGCGCGTGCCCGTAGAAATCTCGCCCTTCGTTACATAGAATCGGCGGATCTTGAGATCGCCGGCTCCACACAATTTTTGGAGGCACCAAATCGTCGACTCCTGCCTTCTCCCAGAAGTGTGTTCCACGCCAACTTTCATACTTGAACACTCCACAATGTCGAGCTTTATGCCCTGATGCACCTACATGAACTTCTGAGCAATGCTTGCAAACTTTAGCCGGATAAACCAGTAACAACTTCTCTACACCTGACCTAAGCGTCTCCCACGCCTTGAGAGTCCCATTGGCGAGAGATCTTACATTCTCGGGTGCCAAAGACGCCGCTGCACTGTCATCAATGCCATTGTCTTGTTGTGGGCTATGCTGATCTGATTCAGCACCAGCCTGACTGCACAGCTCAACCACAGCAGGAACACGATCGAAGTCAAACCTTTCGTCGTGTTTAATAACCTTTGGAGACATATCGGGTAAGTGGTATGACTCGACTGGGACGAGTATATCATTCAAACTACCGGGAATCCATTCATGAACTCGTTTCTTCCCAATGCGCTTGTACCCTTTACAGGTCTCAATCAGATGACCTTCCTTTCCAACAAAAACCTCAGGACAGAACTTGCAGGAGACGACAGGGACGACTTTCATCAGCAAGGAGACCCCACGAATAACCCTCGTTCTAGCTTCAATCACCTCTTTTGCTACGGGGACGATTGCTTTCACCGGATACTCTCCGGCCCGATCCTCTACTCTCTTTATAATCATTGACCGCAGCTTCCCCCAGTCACCCTGTGTCCGGTAAGATCTATGCCAGCTTGAGTAACCATTTGAATCCCCAAGGAGATTCTGCCACAGGATCGTCTTCCTCACAGAACCGAGTCGGGAATACGCCATCATCTCAGGTTTCCTCCAGGAACTTATCCACAGAGACCTTTCATCGAACACCTGGCGTACAATTCGACGGAAGCAGATGATGGACCAAAACCCTCAAAACCCTGAACAGCTTACTTCAGTAGCGTAAAACTAAACAGTCCCTTACGGAACTTCCATAACCAGACCTACAATCTAACACAATCTTCGGGAGAAGAAGGATTCAGAAGCCTCTAGTTTTTTCACAGTACTGAAACCAAATGAATCAGCAGAAAAGAGAAGAAAAACTAATCGCAAGAAATCGATGAAGCTCAGTGAATGCGTCTTCAGTTTCCACAAGTTATGGAGTTACCTAGCGGACTCGACGAAACGTGTAGAGAGGATTCCTCGGTCGCCGCCGGTGCCAGCTGCCGCTACTTTGCTCCGTCGACTACGTCCAACCTGCTTAGGCTTATAGGCTACACATTGCCTTCTATTAACTGGCATGACTTTAAATCGGCCCAAGAACAGTAGCGACGAGCCCATAAAGACGTCTAAACCATCTCCATCCCTGCAATAGGATAACAATTTCATAAGTGGACTCTACAACCATATTAGCAACTTTAGCAATTATTCACTTCAACCATTTCAAACCACCTACATCCCTGCAATAGGTTAGCAATTGCAATTGATGGGACTTACTACATATTCTTTTCTTTAGCAATACTTTTGCATAATAGATAATGGACTTTTGAAAATTCAATAAACACAATATATAGCATACACCAAAAAGAAATAAAGAAAAATTACATAAAGAAATATAAAATACCAAAAAGAAAATTTCGTGTGGGTTTGTATTTTGCATAAATTTGTTTGCTTTCTTGATGTAATATGAATGGTGTGTACTTTTAGTGTGATTTCTTTCTAGTTTTGTGCATGATCTTCATCATTACCTATACATCTTTATAATAAGTTTTCATGTTCAATATGATTAAAATATAATTTATGATTTACAATTTATTAACAATTTAAACAAATCATAAGCACAAAAATATCAAGTTTAACAATTTGTGTGTTCAAAGTGGGTAGAAAAGAAAGAAAGAAAAAAAAGAAAGATTTTGAGTGCATAAATGTGGGGTCCAATTGTCTATGTGGCATTGCAAGAAGGATTGCTTATTTAGCAATCTTGCTAAATAAGCAATAAGTCCCGAGAATATCTTCAATGGGGCGTGTGTACCAGCATGGATTAGTTACGTGGTGCACCCAGCCAATTATAATTAACCATGTGTCCAATTAAAATACCACTCTCTATTTTCTCTCAAAGCAGGCAGTAGAAACAAGAAAGAGAAACCAATAATTATGGAAAAGGTTAATTGAGATTACTCCGGAACAAGAAAAAAAAATTAAATGCGGAACTCCTTTCCTTTACCGTAATCAATTATGGAGGAATTAATCTATGCTCGTACTATGAAAAAACAAAAACAATGTTTATAAATATCAGTGTTCATGTACAAATTGAACTTGATATTACAACGTTATAAAGTATAAATTATATTTGCACAATAAAGATATTTGTACAAAAAGTTACAGTTACAAACTGTTTGGTGTAATGTTATATGTTATTACTCATTTATTAGATGTGATTTTGTATAAATTATAAATGTATCAATGATATAATGATTTTTTCATATATCCGAGCTAAATTGAACTAAAGTGGTCAAACCATTAACTCTCAACCATTTGCTTAAGCAGTCCAACGCGCTAAACTAGATTGGCAACCCTCGTGTCCATAAAAAATGTCTATAAAGGCAGGAGTTCCGCACTTTTTAAAGGATAAAGACTAATTATTAGCAAAACCTTTTCAAATTAAATTTAATTAGCCAAATTTATTGAATTACTAATAATTAGCTAAATCTTTTGTAATAGTTAACTACTAAAGTTTGGAATGCTGTCATCCATGTGTCTCTTACAAATCAGTTTCATATTGCCAAGTCAATTACTAATAAAATTACTAATTGAAGGTTAACCTTTGATTAATTATTAGTAATTTAATAAATTTGACTAATAAAAAAAATGAAACAAGTTTTGCTAATAATTAACCTTTTCCAGTTTTCATTTAGCTATTCTTCCATAATTATCGGTTTCTCTTCTAATTTCTACTGCCCGTGTAGAGAGAAAAGAGGGAGTGGTATTTTAATTGGACACATGGCTAAGAATTATTGGCTGGGTGCACCACGTAATTAATCCATGCTGGTACACCCGCCCCATTGAAGATTTTCTCATAAGTCCCACATCCTTGCAATTGCCACATGGGATTCCACCCAATAAACAATTGCAATAAGCAATTGGATGGAGATGGTCTAATTATGAGGAGATCGTTACTACACCGATTAAGCAGACGTTCCCTTGAGGCCGTTAGGCATGTAATGCATGTTACACAAAGAAGGGAAAAGAATAAAGAGGGTAAATAAACTTTTCTTTTTTGAAAAATGGATGATATTTTTATTCTGTGATTCCATTATTCTCAACTTTCATCTCGTGCAAATATCATTCACTGTCGTATTAAATGAAACTCATGCATTTTGATTGCTCTACCACTTGAGAAATTATAGTTGATGCGAAGTATGTTGATAAACTTTTGATATTTACTTGAGTGAATATGTGATTAGTAAATTAAAATGGTATGTGTAAATTAGTTAGATAATTAATTTATATTTATTTTTTATACTTTTCTGTAGTGATTTTAGAATCTTTATAATTGTTGTTTGGTGGGGAGTTCAATATGAAGAGAAAAGGACAAGGTTGAGGTTTATTGGCGGTACTAATTTCGTACTACAAGTACATGGTTGTTTGACATATGAGAAAATGTATGATGTGATCATCACCAATCTACGATAAGGAGTAGAAGACACAGTAGCGTCATTTACATTCATGGTACTACAAGTACATGGATGATGTTTAGCGGCGGATCCATAACACAAAAAGGTAATGGGCCGCATTTCATTAAAAAATTAAAACCGTAAACAAATATAATGATTTTTTTTGCAATATAAATTATACACTATCATATTTTAATTTAGCGAATGCAACAATAATGAAGTCCACAACCATACCAATAGTACAAACTGTTTCAAATAAAATACTTGAACAATCGGCGAGAAATTCATCGCTAATTTTATTGAGCAAATAAGTTTTTACACATGTTTCATTTTTGAAAAAGTTCTCCCGGTAGTAGCTGTTGAAACGAGCAGCGTCAACACTAGACAAATCAATCGTGCATTATGTGTCCATCCCTAGATTCACCAACTACTCTAGTAAATTTTCAAGGGAAAAAACCTCATATTTCTTCTAGTCTTTTACGTTTTAGACTTTTATACTTTTAGATTTTATTGTTTTTTAGACTAATAATCTTTGGGGCTATAATTTCTTGTTTAAATAGAATAATGATTGGAAAGTGTTAATTTGAATTATTTTCCTAGTTATACCCAATCTTATTATAAATTAACACTGAGTCGAATGTTTAATATCGAAAAATTCATAAGGACTACACTAATGCCGGATCTAGAGGAGGGCTGGGCCGGGGCCGGGGTGGCCACCCCCTAGATCCGCCACTGATGATGTTGGAGTTATTATGATAATAAATTTTATAGCACGAAATTCAAATTGTGAGTTTGCTGAGATACGTACAGAGTTTGCTAGTACACCAGCAGAGGAGGATGATACATCGAGTATGCGGTCTAGTAGTGCCTCGATGAGCTAGACAACCATATAGATGAGGCCAATGAGGATGAGATCGATGACTATGAGGTGAATGAAGTGGAGCATCAAGTTGTAATCAAAAGAGATATTCAAAGTCTAACTGACCGTAACGACATATGCATCATATCCAATCAACATGGATTCAAACATTTAGAGATATTGGAAGAGGTAAGGCATGAATGTGTTGTTTGTGACATTATGCCAGCAACTTCAGTAAAAAGAGCAAATAAAACATTACGCAATATAAGTTAAAAAAGGCGCATAATTTTTTTAAAAAAATATTGATATTAAATATTATGTTCTTCAAAATGTGTTTTAAAGAATATGGGAACATTGGTCGTTGTCGGCAGTAGAGACCAAGGAAGTGGGAGGCGTCGTCGGCAGGATTAGCTGCTCTACTTATTTGTTTCTAATTTTAGGTTCCCAATCGTCAGCGACCAGTTTTTTTCATTTTCTAAATGGGCGGGCGGAATGATGAAAATCGCTAGGACAGCTCAAGCAATTCGAAAGGTTGACCGTTCCAATCGCTTCTCAACTGGTCTGTTCTTTTCTGAAAACTTTTCTACTTATCTGTGCCGACTTGGCTATTGGGTTCTGGTTTTACCAGTCCGACTGGCTCGACTCGGTTTTCAAACACTTCAATAAAGCCTTTTTCAAAACTATGTTGAAGGCTTGCGCAGGGGTAGCCACCTACCGTAGTCCACTCCACCTTCTATTGATCTGCCCTTTCACTTCCCATTTATCTTCTAAGTCAACACTCGCAGTAATGTACCCGTAAGTTTCATATTTCTTCCTCTAAAGGGTCTTAAATAGACATATTGGTTGGTTCTTCCATCTGGCCCCGAGGTTATTCTTCAGGCAAGTTCCTTCGGTGGGATTCAACAATTCTTGCCATCATCGGTACTCTATTTCTTAGCTTCCTATTTTACGATTATAGTTAACTTATTGTTCATGTTTCGCATGCCAACTTATTGACCTTGAACTTTAATTGAAAGATGTATTGCATGTGAACATCTAACAACAAAGATGAGTTGGGAGAAATGAAACCCTAAGCCTTGGGTGTTTCTCATTCATACTTGGGTTTAAATCGGCAAAAGCTTTGCACTACAAGATAACATGTGCAAGCTAGCATTTGGAGACTACAAAGATAAAACATTAATTCAAACTAAAGTCTAAACACACATTGACATTAAACTAAACTTGATGATGATAATTTCCTCTATACCTTGTTGATCCACTTTGACATTCATGGTCGCCGGTTTGAGTCTTGACGATAACTTGAAATATCT